TTGGCCTTGTGCATGTCAACTGACAGGAGTTTGTGTTGGCATGTCAACTGACAGGAGTTTGTGTTGGCATGTCAACTGACAGGAGTTTGTGTTGGCCTTGTGCATGTCAACTGACAGGAGTTTGTGTTGGCCTTGTGCATGTCAACTGACAGGAGTTTGTGTTGGCCTTGTGCATGTCAACTGACAGGAGTTTGTGTTGTTGGCCTTAGGCATGTCAACTGACAGGAGTTTGTGTTGGCCTTGTGCATGTCAACTGACAGGAGTTTGTGTTGGCAGGAGTTTGTGTTGGCCTTGTGCATGTCAACTGACAGGAGTTTGTGTTGGCCTTAGGCATGTCAACTGACAGGAGTTTGTGTTGGCCTTGTGCATGTCAACTGACAGGAGTTTGTGTTGGCCTTGTGCATGTCAACTGACAGGAGTTTGTGTTGGCCTTGTGCATGTCAACTGACAGGAGTTTGTGTTGGCCTTGTGCATGTCAACTGACAGGAGTTTGTGTTGGCCTTGTGCATGTCAACTGACAGGAGTTTGTGTTTGTGTTGGCCTTAGCATGTCAACTGACAGGAGTTTGTGTTGGCCTTAGTGCATGTCAGCTGACAGGAGTTTGTGTTGGCCTTGTGCATGTCAACTGACAGGAGTTTGTGTTGTGTTAGCCTTAGGCATGTCAACTGACAGGAGTTTGTGTTGGCCTTAGGCATGTCAACTGACAGGAGTTTGTGTTGGCCTTAGGCATGTCAACTGACAGGAGTTTGTGTTGGCCTTAGGCATGTCAACTGACAGGAGTTTGTGTTGGCCTTGTGCATGTCAACTGACAGGAGTTTGTGTTGGCCTTGTAGCATGTCAGGAGTTTGTGTTGGCCTTGTGCATGTCAACTGACAGGAGTTTGTGTTGGCCTTGTGCATGTCAACTGACAGGAGTTTGTGTTGGCCTTAGGCATGTCAACTGACAGGAGTTTGTGAGTTGTGTTGGCCTTGTGCATGTCAGCTGACAGGAGTTTGTGTTGGCCTTAGGCATGTCAACTGACAGGAGTTTGTGTTGGCCTTGTGCATGTCAACTGACAGGAGTTTGTGTTGGCCTTGTGCATGTCAACTGACAGGAGTTTGTGTTGGCCTTGTGCATGTCAACTGACAGGAGTTTGTGTTGGCCTTGTGCATGTCAGCTGACAGGAGTTTGTGTTGGCCTTGTGCATGTCAACTGACAGGAGTTTGTGTTGGCCTTGTGCATGTCAACTGACAGGAGTTTGTGTTGGCCTTGTGCATGTCAACTGACAGGAGTTTGTGTTGGCCTTAGGCATGTCAACTGACAGGAGTTTGTGTTGGCCTTGTGCATGTCAACTGACAGGAGATTGTGTTGGCCTTAGGCATGTCAACTGACAGGAGTTTGTGTTGGACAGGAGTTTGTGTTGGCCTTATGTCAACTGACAGGAGTTTCGCCTTATAGGCATGTCAACTGACAGGAGTTGGCCTTGTGCATGTCAACTGACAGGAGTTTGTGTTGGCCTTGTGCATGTCAACTGACAGGAGTTTGTGTTGGCCTTGTGCATGTCAACTGACAGGAGTTTGTGTTGGCCTTGTGCATGTCAACTGACAGGAGTTTGTGTTGGCCTTATGCATGTCAAACTGACAGGAGTTTGTGTTGGCTGACTTGTGCATGTCAACTGACAGGAGTTTGTGTTATGCATGTCAACTGACTTAGGCATGTCAACTGACAGGAGTTTGTGTGTCGGCCTTAGGCATGTCAACTGACAGGAGTTTGTGTTGGTCCTTAGGCATGTCAACTGACAGGAGTTTGTGTCGGCCTTAGGCATGTAAGGTAATGAAGTATCATATCAGTTCAGGGTAATCTTGATTTGTGATGTAATACAGCTGTAAGACATCATCAATAGTATGGTGTCAGCGAAGTGTGGGAGGTGATCCACATCTTAGATGTATACCACTTGCGTGTCTGCCACTGACAACCCAACATTCTGGCTTTCAAACTATCAATCATGGTATTCAGGCATACACATGGGATGCACAACAAATGGAGGCTCCTTCAGATACAATAGGTTATTCACACACATACAATATCTTATGTTCACAGGCTTTCAAAAACACACTTTTTGCAAAGCAAAGGGAGGTCCACACACTAGTGGAAATGTGCTGGTTTGAGCTGTGCTTGGAAAGGAGGAGGGAATACCTTTTAAAAAACTGAAAATTAAAAACATAAACAGTGTTGCACAGTTTTCCTTCAAATCATTTACAGTTCAAAAGATCAAAATGTCTAAAAATATGTTAACAAGAGACTAACATGACCAGGTAACAGCTGAAATGATTTCCACAAATTTACACTGAGCAACACTTTTAAGTCTTCAGGGAAAACTGTGCATTTTAAGCAAAAGTTTGCAATGGCTTCCAAACTGTGACTCATAAGAAGTACTAAATGAGACACAAAGTAGATAAAATCAAGCTTACAAAATTTTACACAGACAGAACTTAGATTAAAATAGAAAAATAAGAAAAATATGAAAATTCAAATTCAAACAACTGCAGACAGATTACAGTTATCATTACTGAAACAGCAACATTAATTTAAGTAAACAAGAACATTTACCATAACGTAAGAAAAGAAAGATGTAAAATACTACCAATTCAATGAATAATAACACTTGATAATATTTCTTCTCATACTTTTACATTTCACAATAAGTATGTATTTGAAGGCTTCCAAATATGATTATCACAACATATGTCATGACTTGCAATAATGTCATTAAGCCATGACAAAATCAAACCAGCGGTTGATAGTGACAGTACAACACAAACAGTAGCACAAAAGCAGCCAAGGCATCCTCTATATCGCCTGGACTCTCAATCCATTCAAGTGGTTCTTGCAATCTCAAATTAATCTCAGATAACCCACCCTTGGTTTCCATTTGCCAATTTGACTGGCTACACTACTAGGTCTAATGTACCAATCAGAATGAGAGTTACAAACCAGTCTCAATGTTAAGTTAGCAATATCAAAGCATGGTGTCCTGTCCCCATGACTATGTTTAAGTTTGCAAGGAATTAATTATGGCATAGAAAAAAAAAGGATGTCTCCATGTCCATCTCAACTGGCAGCTGCCTTGGTTTCTAGGTAATAGAGTTACCTCCCTTCTTCTTTCCATTATGTTCGAAGAAAATCAAGGATGGGTGTGTTGAAATCACAAGAACCACTAGAACTGATCCATGGGTTAGTGCAGGTCTACCCAAATGTAAGCCCTGGGCCCACTTCACAAAGCAATCGTATCGCTAAGGTGATCGTAACTCCCATACTTTAACATAGACTTACGACAGTCGTAGCGCTACGATCGCTTTGTGATACGGGCCCCTGGAGATACAGACGATGCCCTGATTGACACCAATCAAAAAAAGTTACATTCAGTGGCCATTGTGACCAAGTAATCTCCATGTTAGCCAAATCTTACAGCATGGGTAGGGGGCAATATGACTTGAACACAGTGCAGAGCTTCCAACTGGATGAGCTATTGTCAAGGTGTCAATAGGTTTTAGGACACTGGGTAGAGATCATGGTAGCAGAAAGGAAAGGCTGCAGGAAATATTTCTCGGGAACATTTTTCTCAAAGTAGGAAGGATTATTTTCTTCGTATTTCTGATTGAAAATAAAAATAGAAGGAGAACACTATTGTTTCACCAACAGATAGAACTGGGCACACACTGAGAGCAGGATCTTCTTTAAAAGTTTTTTGGGTATTTTTTTAGAAAAGATGGCTGATATGCAGGATAATTTTTTAAGTGATGTGTCAATGCCCAAGAAACATTTTCCATTAATTTTGGCAAAAAGGTGCAAAAAAGGTTTCTTACTAAGCTTTGAATTCAACTTAAGATTCACTTTTGAAAGAGCAGATTTCTCAAGACACATTCCTAAAATTTAACATTGCCATAACAGAATGATCTTCATCAAAAACATCCAAACTCACATTATTCTGTGATCATCAGATACGTGGATTTAATTTTAGTTGAAGTATCATGAATCCTAGGTTAGAATATATATTTTTGGACCATCTAAAATGCAGTCGAACCTTGATATGTCAAACTTTTGTCAGTTTCCCTGTAGTATTTCAACTCATCTTCTCGCCACTGCAAATTCCTTCACAATTTATCGTAACTATTACATGATCTGTCGTACTGGAGTTGTGGATTTGCCACATGTCTTGAACTCATCTGGTACACCTCAGTATCCAAATTGAGCATATTGCCCTGAATACTTACACTATTCAAATTAAGAAACAACATCCATATCACTAAACATTAATCCACTTACAGTTGCAATCCCATGTGAAAAACATAAATTGACCCTACTAACAAGTCCACCAAATTAAAGGTGCAAGCTAATGTAACATAAGACTGACTGACTGAGTGAGTTTGTTTTTATGCCGCTTTTAGCAATATTCCAGCAACATCACGGCGCGGGACACCAGAAATGGGCTTCACACATTGTACCCATGTGGGTCTTCGGCGTGACGAGCCAACGCTTTAACCACTAGGCTACCCCACCGCCCCATGTAAAATAAGAAATGAGTATAAGGGATTAAGATTATGCAACAATATTGTAATGGCAGCAGCACAGAGATTAGAGATACCCTAGGTTGTCTCCCCTTTCCCCACCTGGAGCTCAAGCACTGATATCTATTGATGCCTTAAAACCAGTTATACATCCATATCAGAGAATAATCTGTTATGTTGTTTTCAAATATTCACTTGCTTATTTTGACTCAAACGTTTTCCCGAGTTAACACAAGTTCGACACAACAAAGTTCAACTGTAAACCTAAAACAATGTGTAAAAACAAAGCTCTTGGAAATTAACAATATTTCAGGACAGATATATTATGATAGACAGACATTTTTCTTCAAACAACTATTTGTCATCAACATTTCCTGTAACTCTTTTATAACAAAGATCTCTTTCAAATGATTAGTGAAGAAGTGACACTGAATAGCAGAATACAAATCTCACCTTGAGTGCAAAGTCGCAGTTGTCCCTGGCAATGAGGGCTATCCATGCCACTCCACTCCTTGGCAAGTCTGGGGGGGGATTCACTGGCATGCAGGCATTGCGTGGAGTCACATACACAAGTCGACCCTGTTAGAAAATTACAAGGAAAGCATTTTGAACTCTAATGGCTGCCAGCTAACAGAACAACAACATTATAAAGTTCAGAAAAGTGCCAAAAATCAAATAAACAGTGATCTCCCTCTGACTCAGTTTTACAGATTATGTGTTGAAAATCAACAATTTGCTTACCACTATACCATCTGCAGGCAGACTGGGCCCGAAAATGGATTCCATATCTTCAAAGATTACAATCGTCTCATTCTGTTGGATGTCCAGCTGTCAAACACAAACATAGAGGAGTGAAAGAGTTTGGTTCAATGCCACTTTGAAAGTATTCCTGTTACACCACAGTAAGCCACCTTGGTGTGATAGGAAATACCTACAAAATGCACAGCTCGAAAGTTCATCTCTTCACTGAAACCCAAATCACAGGTCTCAAATATATGCTTAGTGTCCACACAAGGGAAACATCTCTGTACTGTAGCTTGCAGGACCTTTGAAGACTGGGGCATAGTGTGCCTCACTGTTCCTGAACCATATTATTATACTTTCACTTATCTGTAAAACAAACACTCTAAATGAGGCAAGTCTTGATTTTCTCAGGTCCAGGTTCAGAATCTCTCATCTCTCTGGGGATCCTTTTCAATTTAAATGGAACTCATTGTTTCTCTCAGACATACATTTTCAGGACTAGGGCTGCGCAATATAACCGGTTTACCGGTATTTAATGGTTCAGACATGAAAACGGTACGCATTGCGATACGCTGATCAAAAACCGGTATTTTGACTTGCATTCGGAAAACTTCGTAACACTCGAAATCTTGTTTCATTTCCTTGTTTCATTTGTGCCAAATATTATTTACATTTTTATTTTGTCATGATTAAAGATTGTTGTTAAAGCTTAATCAAGCATAGTTATTTTGTTGTGTCTTGGCTTTATAAATTAAGCATTAACTCGATTATAAGTAGTTTTATATTTAAAAATACTTCTTGCAATATACTGCAATACATATCGCAATATATGCTTTCGCATCGCAATATATCGCAATATGAAAATTCTCTGCAATACCCACCCCTATTGAGGACCAAGCATTAGTCTAACTGGGGTACTCCTTCTCCTCCCACTTTCAAATGGAAACCTGGGACAGTCTTCGGCCATACAAACCTCCTACTGTCATTAGAAGTATACTTGAACAAAAGCAGCAACAACAACACAATGCCACTCAACTGTTCATCTACTATATACTACGTCAGGAAATCAAATCGGTTTTCATAAATGTTGGCCTTGCAACCCTACTTACAACAGTGACGTCCCCGCTGACGAGTGAGACATTGAGCATGGCAATCAGGTTGAGCACAGTGAAGATATACAGCCCGGTGATATGACCGGGATTGGGCGATCCATCAACATGATGGGAGCTCACCTGTAACAGACAAACAAACAAACAATTCAGTGAGTGAGTGAGTGAGTGAGTGAGTGAGTGAGTGAGTGAGTGAGTGAGTGAGTGAGTGAGTGAGTGAGTGAGTGAGTGAGTGAGTGAGTGAGTGAGTGAGTGAGTGAGTGAGTGAGTGAGGTTTTACGCCACTTTTAGCAATATCCCAGCAATATCACGGCGGGGGACACCAGAAATGGGTTTCACACATTGTACCCATGTGGAGAATCGAACCCGGGTCTTCGGCATGACAGGCGAATGCTTTAACCACTAGGCTACCTCACCGCCCACAATTAATAAAGTAACTTTCATGAACAAACATGAAATAAAGTGACACTGTATGCTTAGTTTAGTTTTATGCAGCACTCAGCAATATTCCAGCTATATGGCGGCGGTCTGTAAATAATCGAGTCTGGATCAGACAATCCAGAGATCAACAACATGAGCATCGGTATCTGCGCAATTGGGAACCGATGACATGTGTCAACCAAGTCAGCGAGCCTGACCACCTGATCCCGTTAGTCGCCTCTTACGACAAGCATAGTCGCCTTTTGTGGCAAGCATGGGTTGCTGAAGACATATTCTACCCCGGATCTTCACGGGTCCTTGATGAATGAGTAAGTGAGTGAGTTTAGTTCTACGCCACTTTTAGCAATATTCCAGTAGTATCATGATAAAGGACTCCAAAATGGGCTTCACACATTGTACTCATGTGGGGAATCAAAACTGGGTCTTTGGCGTGATGAGCGAATGCTCTAACCACGAGACTATCCCACCACCCCTGTTGATGAATGAGTGGATACCCGACCCAAAATACTTGCTACACTACTCCCATTCGAAATTGGCGTCCTTGGGACCATTAAAATGTCTAAGTTGTTACTAAGACCAGAATGGTGCCTATATTGGGGCACAGTGCTGATTAAGATTCCATGGTGATAGAAATTGGAAAATTTCATTGATGCCAAATAAATGTTCTCGTCACTGAAATGTCAGTGTTTCATCATACTGTCATGCTCACATGTAAATTAAATAATCACCTCTTAAAGATTATCAAACCAAAGGGTTGACAGCATGAGGAACAATGGGGTAAACATCATGTTTTTGAAGATTTCCAATATCACTGCCTACAAACTATCTTGTCAGCTTACAATATTGTACATTGACAATGTAATACACCAGACTCATTCTGAGGACAACCCTCCCTCTGAATACTGACACAACTGTGAGATCAATAACACACTCTAGAATGCCATGGTTCAATGGATGAAAACATCAGTATTCCTGACAACTCAATAGCTGGTTACCATGGTTACCAAAATTCACAAAGCATAGTTGTAAGTGTAAAACTTATCTGAAACCCATTGTAAAGCATGAAGGATGATACTGAAACCCCACATCAGGGATCATGTATATCAAGTTTCAACAAATACCATATCACAATATAGGCCATGTATACACAAGCTCTTATTATGATTAATTTGTACTGTGTGACCGTCAATCGCATCCAATCACATGATGGCCTCGTTAAGTCAAGTTTCACAAACATATCATTACACAATCTGTTATCAGCACCTACTCCATTTCATTTTCATAATTACACACAATAATTGGAGTGAGTGAGTGCGTATGGTTTTACGCTGCTTTTAGCAATATTCCAGCAATATCATGGCGGGGGACATCAGAAATGGGCTTCCCCATGTGGGGAATCAAAACCGGGCCTTCGGCGTCACACAATAATAGGATCGTACAGTATTACCAGTATATTGATATACCACAACATGCTTTTCAAACAATACATATTGCAATATTATTGTCTGCAGACAGATCTAACCTAATTTGTGAGTGCTTAGTGTATAGAGAATAGGATCTGCATGTACAATCAGTGTCACTCGCTGTCAAACACTTTAGCTCCCAATATATTGCAATACAAATACATGTATTGCATCATAATGCAATTAAAAACTGTAACTACAAATTGTATATTTATAATGCTTATTCTATCTCATACACAGCCCTACACAATAAGGTCATATCCTCTATCTGGATTCATTTCACTAAGAATTCATAGAGGTATGATAGTCAGAAGTATATGTTAAATTATATCCGTTACAACTGCTTACTCAGTCGAATGGCCCCTGATATTGACATTGTTAACCAAGCCCCCATTGTGTGTGTCAGTTATAAGATTCTGTCCAAGCTTGTTACCACTAGCTGACACCACATACGCTTGGCCTGACAACCTGATCTGACACGGTAGCGCGGTAGCCCATGCATTCTATGGTGGATAATTGGGATGTGGTTTACTGCGTGTACACTAACTCCACTATCATAGCTCCATAAAACTAAGATAGATATGATACTTTATGGACAACAACTTATGATGCAACATTTCGGAATAGATTCTTATACCGTTGTCATGCTGTATAAAGACGTTTCAGTATTAATTCTTATACCGTTGTCAAGCTTGATAACAGTATAAGAATCTATACCCAGGGATTTACGGGACGTGAATTCCTGTGTCCTATTTAATTCGTGTCCTATACTCATAAAAAATTGACAACAGACACAACAAAATTTATTAGCGCATCCAAAGGGACACAGAAAAAATCCAAATACGTTTTGTAAAAATTTCAATCAAGTAACAATAAGTTATCACTGAGGTTGCTACAAGCCCGGTTATGGTATCACTTGCAGTTTAATTACTCTAACAATATGATGATAATGATACACAATACAAGAACAGTAACTGAATTACAACAATACTACAACATGGTAAGTATTAATGATAATTTTGTAGTCCAGGACCCCTGAAAAGTAAGAGTATGAGTCACAGGGACCCTCTAATATAGGACTCAGGGTAAATCCCTGTATACCAAAACATTGCACCATTATATAATAAAGAAGTTGTTATCCATAAAGGATCCTACCTTTCTTATTATCCATCAACTTCTAAAATGCCAAAAAACAACCAACCCCAGATCCACAAAATAGTTGCTAAATTATTAATGTACATTGCTATTTCCTACTGAAAGCCTCACCTTGAAAAGCAATACCACAGTCTACCTCATTACATAAATCTACTGAGATATATTGGTAACATATCTACAGGTGATCTCCACATACAAGCCATCAGTGACTTCCAGTAATCACTGCTCATGATAGACAATAGATGTACCACACAGGGAGAGTATTCTTCCTCAGCATTGTCACTAAATGTCAGTACCCTTTATTACATGTGTGACGATACAGAAATTTCACGATACGATACGTATCGCGATATCTTGGAACGATACGATTCGATGCATATCACGATATGCTTTCTTTAGTTATTTTCTTTAAAAAATCATATTTTAATAGCAAGAAATTTTGACATAACTGTCAATATCTAATGAAACTTAAAGATAACTTCAGATAAAGTATCACAATTAAAGATACTACGATATATCGTCACAGCTCTACCCTTTATGCCAGTAACTACATAATGAGTGAGTGGGCATTTACACCCCTTTCAGCAGTATTTCAGTTGTGTCACTGAGTTAGTTCCTGAACACATATATTGTGTTGAATATATCGGAAATGTGTCTCATAACACAATGGAGACATATATCATATGTCTCAACAATGAGGATGCAGTATTTCCTGGTGGGCAAGGTGTTTAACATTGAAAGACAGTAAAACATTTTCCTGCATGTATAAACTGCTGAAGCCCGCATATCACGACACATGTCCAGAAAAATCAATTTACAAACATCTCAATATCGTTAGTTACCTCCCTTTGCAAATTTATTTTAAAAAGCAAAAGAATAATCTCTATCATTTTAAGCATAAGATTATTTTGAAAGTGGGGTGATGAATTGCAAATCAAACTTCATCAACCTTGGTCATTGTACGGGTAAGTGTGACACAATAGCGCATATTTGGTACTGTTGGTAACTGAAATACACTGTTTGGATCCGGAAATGAAGAATTTTATGCAGCATTTATTTAGTTTCAAGTAAATATCATCAGGTAGAAGAGGTTTGCGAATAAGCTGAGGATATGCAGAGTTCCACTGTACACAGACACACTCATACATCTGCCCACTGTAAACACTGCTTCCAGGATTATCCACTATCACATATACTCCATCAATTGTCCATTTCACCTGCTCCTTCAAAACCCTTAAAACAGAATGTCTATCTCCCATGGGGGCGGTTAGTCTAGTGGTTAAAGCGTTCACTTGTCACACCGAATACATGGGTTCGACTCCATATATGGGCACAATTTGTAAAGCTTATTTCTGGTATCCTCTGCCATAATATTGCATGAATATTGCTAAAAGCGGCAAATAAAACACAACCTACTGACCATCTCCCATGGATTCGTAAAAGGAACCAATCAAAATAACTCTTTTGAAAGGAATAGACCTTCATTCAAAACCACTGCCTTGTCAGAACAAACCTATATCTAATCGAATCAGTAAGCTGTTATGTTAATGGAGATGGTATGCGATTACTAAGACTTGAAGACTGGGAGATTTCCTCTATATGGAAATCGAGTCAAGACGGCCCATACACGCTGAGTCACGTGACTGGTGGTGCTTTATGTGTCAACCAGGAAGTAAATATTTCATTTGCATGTCTATTTTGGACATAATGACATTAAAATTTGACTCAAAACACATGCATGGTGAAATAGTCAACAGTATCTATGACTGAATGTCAACAAAATACCCCAAATAATACAACAAACAAATGTCTTGAAACCTTTAGACTTTTGTCCATTTTCACATGTTTCACAGGAACTGACAGAATCTGTAGAAATAAATCCAGGTTGGAGACTAGTGGTAAATTCATAGACTGCACCTGTGACAATATATACACAACATTATCTTATCATCATCTGCTTCACCGTGCCCCACTTCACCATGAAATCAAGAAACATGTGATAACATTATACAAACATGACAATCATTATGATTGGCATTAACTCCCACTGTGACCACAAGAGAC